GAAGGGGGGGGAGACGGGACAAGCAAAAGTAGATTCAAATAAAAACTAATTGAAAATGTTCATTTAAACCTGATTTGTTGACACAGACATTCTGAAAGTATTTTTGAAAAGGGGAATAATTTATTTTAAAAAGTCTTTTTTTGTTAAAGAAAAATGTTGAATAACAATTTTCTACCTGCTCAAAGGTAACCAGAGCATGTACAATACATAATATACCGAGCAACTAACATCCTTTGTACATTTTGGTTTGAGGGGGGAAAAAAAAAAGACACCTAGGAAGATGGTAAGGATGGAGAATTTGTTTTATCAGTGGTTAGTGCTTTGTGTTGTAATCACAACATAATTGTTTTGTAGTTAATTTCACTTTCATAGATTGCATTTGCTCAAGAAATGAGAGCAGAGTATGTATTAAGGTCAGCTAATTTCTATTTCAGACTATTTTTTTAAGCATCATGTATCTGAAACTGAGGTAAATGCTTTTAATATACGTTAACTTCATAAAACAGATGTTATGCATTTCAGCACTATTTCTGGATCATATTTATGTCAGAAACATGCATTACATACATATAATGCCCCTGAAAAACCCTGGATTAGGGTCCCTAAAGAGTGAAGTTACTTTTATCTGTTGAATAACTACCACACGAACAACAGTAGTGCCAAGCATCTCTGCATCAGCTTGAATACCTTGTACAGATGTGGTCGCATCATCTCAAAAAAGATATATTGGCTTTGGAAAAAGGTTCAGAAAAGTGCAACAAAAATGGTTAGGGGTTTGGAATGGGTGCCGTACAAAGAGAGATTAAAAAGACTGGGACTTTTCAGCTTGGAAAAGAGGAGATGAAGGGGGGTATGACAGAGGTCTATAAAATCACGACAAGTATGGAGAAAATGAATAAGGAAAAGTTTTTACTTGTTCTCATAATATAAGAACTAGAGGTCGCCAAATGAAATTAATAGTTAGCAGGTTTAAAACAAACAAAAGGAAGTTTTTCTTCACGCAGCACACAGTCAACCTGTAGAACTCCTTGCCAGAGGATGTTGTGAAGACCAGCACTTTAACAGGGTTCAAAAAAGAACTAGATAAATTCATAGAGGTTATGTCCATGGATACTTATTAGACAGAATGGATAGGAATGATGTCCATAGCTTCTGTTTGTCAGGGACGGGAAATGGATGACAGGCGTGTGACCGCCCTGGGGCCCGGGCTGGGAGTGGCCAAGGGCTTCCAATTCCGGTTTCCAGGCTTAGTCACCGGTAGCGCTTTTCTGAAGCCCGCTTCCCCCAAGGGCCCGGGGAACACAGCGCTGCCGGACGGGTCACACCCCGGTCTAACGTGTCCATGCGCAAAACAAGGCAGTGGGGGAGCGGCCCACCCTGTCTCCCCCACCTGTCAGAGGGTGACGGTCTCCCCATGACCTCCAGGCTAGTCTACGCTGCAGGCTTCTTGTGCAAAAACTTGGGGGCTGTGTCTAGACTGGCATGATTTTCCGGAAATGCTTTTAACAGAAAAGTTTTTCCGTTAAAAGCATTTGCGGAAAAGAGTGTCTAGATTGGCACAGACGCTTTTCCGCAATAGCACTTTTTGTGGAAAAGCGTCCGTGCCAATCTAGACGCACTTTTGTGCAAAAAAGCCCCAATTGGAAAACAAATCTGAGCTGTCTGCACTGGCCCTTTTGCCCAAACGGGAGCAGCACAGTATTTCCGCAAGAAGCCCTGATTTCTTACATGAGATTGTCAGTTTTCTTGTCGAAATTCAAGCGGCCAGTGTAGACAGCTGGCAAGTTTTTCTGCAAAAGCAGCTGCTTTTGTGGAAAAACTTGCCAGTCTAGACACAGCCGTTGAGTGTCTACACTGCATGCGCGTTCTTATGCAAGTAAATTTACAGTAAAGCATGGGAACAGAAGGCTTCTTATGCAAGAGTTAGTCCTCTCCTCAGAGGAATAAGCCCTCTTGCGCAAGAAGGCAGTGTGGACAGGCAACAGGAGTTTCTTGCCTAAGAAACCTGTATGGCTAAAATGGCCATCAGAGGTTTCTTGCGCAAGAGAGCGTCCACACTGCCATGGACGTTCTGGTGCAAAAGCACATGGCAGTGTGCACGCGCTCTTGCGCAAGAACTCTTGTGCAAAACAGTTCTTGCACAAGAAGCCTGCAGTGTAGACATAGCCCAGTGTAAATGGATGGTGGCAGTTGTCTCTAAATACCCCATGAATTTGGATTTCCCATTAGCAGACTCTGCTCCATTTGTGTAAAGTGCCTTGAAATCTATGTATGCTGCACTGTAGCATCTATGTGTCCTTTCCAGGCGGAAACCATGTCGCAGAGAGATTTCCTGTTGGTAAGATGATATGACACACCATACTCTCTCATGTCCTGTGACCCTGGTTCTTGTGTCCCTCAGTGAGCAGCTGTTTATGCAGATGGCTGATGTGATGGTGTCAGATGGCTGGAAGGATGCAGGCTATGAGTATGTCTGTATTGATGACTGCTGGATGTCTATGACCCGAGATGATCAGGACAGGCTCCAACCTGACCCAGAACGCTTCCCCAGTGGGATCCGCAAACTGGCAGACTATGTGAGTGTATTGATGGAACCTGGCCTCCCCACCACCATCATGGGCTCTTCATCTTTCCTCTAGTTAAAGACATTAGGAATTATATGTACAGTAAAAGGTCTAATGGGTGTGGAAGGCAGGGGAGTTTCTACTGATCAGCTAAAACTTACTGGCTGGCTTGCTTGGTGTACAGTAGACTTCCAATAATCTTGCACTTAGGTGATGCCGGATTATCAGATTTGCGGGAGAATCGGGAGGTCCGGTACAGCTGCACGGCTTAACAGCTGACCAGGACACAATCTCCCTCCCTCTGCCCTCCCCCCTTCATCTTCGTGTCTTCCTCCGTGCTGTAACCTGATCCTCCTCGCCCTCCCCTTTCCCCTTCGCTGAAGCAAAACGCTCTTCTCCATACTATAACACGATCTCACGCCCCTCCCCCTCTCCCCCAACCTTATGCTCCATCTGGCTACAGCCAGCAGTGTGCTGAGCTGCAGGCTTTTTAATCAGCTGGTCAGTAGCACTTGGCATTTAGATGCCGGGAGTATCAGGAGTGCCGAACAGTTGGATGCCAGACTATCGGAGTTTTATTGTATTGGGGTTTTTATGACGACTCTTTCTCAGATTGGCTGCCTAGCAAATTCTATACATGGGTTTCTAGCCCTGGCCTTTGGGGACCTCTGAACTAACCCCTAAGTGGATTGAGCCCCTGCAGGGAGAGGGGGGGTTGGTCCTCATTCACATTTTCCTCTAGGCCTGTGAATGGTAAGGGCAGTGAAAATGGGATCCCAGTGGTTTCTGGGCAGTGATTCTCTCTTGAATGGGCCTGTTCTTGGCAGAGCAAGAAATTGACTCCTCAGCTGTGTGGTCAAGGTACCCTCTGAACTAACCCCTAAGTGGATTGAGCCCCTGCAGGGAGAGGGGGGGTTGGTCCTCATTCACATTTTCCTCTAGGCCTGTGAATGGTAAGGGCAGTGAAAATGGGATCCCAGTGGTTTCTGGGCAGTGATTCTCTCTTGAATGGGCCTGTTCTTGGCAGAGCAAGAAATTGACTCCTCAGCTGTGTGGTCAAGGTACTGCAAGGGGCTTTCACTTCTCTCTTCTCCTACTCTGCCGCTCTT